AAATCCCTCCCTTCTTTAGGTTTTGAGTTTATTCCCACAATTCCACAGGTACTTCCCATGGGAAAAAAAAAGATTAATTCAGTATGGTTGAAAGTAAACGCACTTAAAAAAATCTTAGGTGAGTAGTCCTTCAACTATTATGAAAATCTTGATCCTTCCGAATATCTTACTCCTTGAACTTTCTAAATAGCGAGATTATACAGCATAATAACTGCAGAGTGATTCAGAGGATTGTAATTTAATGTTATAGAATATATTATTTTCAAAGAACATAACCAACTTTTTTTAGTAGCTTGTGTAGCTTTCATGTAAAAAAATGTTGCATTAATAAAGCCCTTTTTAAAACATTTTGTTTACCTTCTGTTTTTTAGGTCAACAGCAACAAAAAACTTAGGTAGCAACATTATGATATCATAAAAAGCTGGAAAAGGTGATAGTAGAACAAGTGGTTATTGACATGAAATGTTTATTTTGAGAGAATTCTTGGCATTTTTGCCCATGTCAGCATAATGAGAATTTGTAGAAGATGGAAGTATTAATGTAGCTGTTGAGGATTAATGTCCTTGCAGAGCATTTGTTAGTGAATATGTTATGGCTAGTACCACAAATGCAGCAATTGAAAAGTTGCATACTAACACTTTGTGGATTGGCATACTCCTTTTGTCCCCTTGATGGCTTGCATTCAAGTGAACAGTATACCGTTCTTCTGGGTCTCTCGCATTCTTAATCAGGAACAGACAGCAGGATGGCAGTCTCAAAGAGTTCTTTCCTCCTTGAGGCCTCGCTGATCACATGGGCAGAAACTCTTTCAGGACCGAGTTATTTTTTTTTAATTGATCTTTTAGGTAGATGGGGGGTGGAGAAGAGAGAGAGACAAAGAGAGACAGAGAGAAACAAAAACTTCGATTTGTTGTTCCATTTACTTATGCATTCACTGATTGATTCTTGTATGTGCCGTGACTGGAGATTGAACCCACAACCTTGGTGTTTCAGAATGACGCTCTAACCAACTGAGCTACCCAGCCATGGTTACGCCCAAGTTATTTTTTAGCAGTTTGGGGAAAAAAGGTCACATTGCACACACAACAATAACAACAACAATATCCTGCCTACTGTTCCTCACTTTTGGAAACTTTATCCTTAAAGTTGCTGGCAGATAATACCATGATGTGCTGCTGTGTGATGTGTGAAGTGTTTAGTATGGTCCCTCAAAGCTTATGTGTCATAAAAGAAGTGAAATGATAAATAATATACATATACAATAGGACAAAACCAGAGACATGTAACGGAGTGAATTTTCAGAATTTTCACGAGAAGCCAGCTCCTTTTAATAGGCTTGTTATCGCATTACTGTCCGTTGCCCCAGTGGGGTGAGCCTGAGCAGGTTGCTGTGTGGAGTGAGCATGTGGGAGGGGAGGCGCCACGCTGCTAGAGCAGCGATGTCCTGTCCTTCCCAGGAAGGACGAGAGGGAAGGCAGACAGATGAAAGTGGGCAATTTGTATTTCTTTGCATGCTCAAAATGTTCGCATCTACCTATTTTCTCGTTTAGGAGGCATTTTGTGTTTCATAATTTCATTCTTTCTGAATCCCCTTACTTAACACACACTATTTGTTTAGTAGTTCATAAAGATTTTCTTCTATGCAGAGGAAAGGAAATGCAGTTGCGTGTGGTTTGCAGCTTGGCTTTGAATCCGTTAGGGTGGAAAAGGAAGGAATAGAAAGACCATTTCTGTGCTGTCAGAGGTGTCCAACATTTTGGTGTCTCTGGGCCACTGGAAGAAGACTCTTCTTGAGTCACACATTAAATACATTGTGACACATAATCACAGAAAATTCTCAAAGTGTTTTAAGTAGATTTATGATTTTGTGTTGGGCCACATGCATAGCCATCCTGGGGTGCATTTGGCCTGTGGGCCACAGGTTGGACACCACTGGTTTAACTGGTCTCCTTAGTTGTGCAGACTCTTAATTTATGCATTGGTTTATCAATTTATCGATTGACTCTGTTTTTATTGACTGCTTGTTGTATATATCCTTGCCCTGGGGATACAAAGTTGAATGGCCCAGGCAGTAGGCATCAAATGGCTCTGGAACCTTCTCAGTACTGGCTGAATTCAGGGACGATAACATGTTTATCTAGAATTCTAAAAGTCATCTTCCAAAGATGGCCTGGGGATGTTTATGTCGTGGAGTAGCCTCAGAGTCTCTGAGGTCACCAAGGCTGCCTGGAGAATGTAACACCTGTTCTTCAAGGCATTTTCCATTGCGTTAGATTTTCTCATGAACTTTGCTACTTTGGGCACTGTTGGCGTACTTTCCAAGAACTAAGTCATTCCACCCACGTCTGTATTTGCCAGAACTCGAGGCTGAAGAGTGGGCAGGAGACTGAAGTGGGACGACATCACGTATGCGAGGAAATTTCGGGGGCAGGTGCTGCTGCCGACTCCACTCCCCTTCTTGCCTTTGCTTTCCAGTGCCCGACTCTATTTTCATTACACTAGTTGTGCTAGGAAGGGTCTTTGAATTGAAGCATCTTAAGAAGCCTTATGTAAGATAGTGGGTAGTGGTTTCACTTAATGAAACTACATGTGAACCTTTGGAAAGATTGGCACCCAAGCCCAAAGATCATTTTAAGAGCATTCTTCTGAATCTTTGTGTACACAATATTTTTTGATACTATTAAGTTCTACTATGAGTGTGCTTATCCCACAAACATCCCTTTGCTCCTTGATATGTACTGGTGAATGTAGTATTTATTTTTATTTCAAAATGGGGTTGGACTACTTTAATTTTGGAAGGTAACATGCCAGAAACCAAGATTTTCAAGAGCTGTGTCTCCAAATCATTTACGTGTCAACTTGTTCCAGCAAAGGGTCTCACCAGCTGTTTTATCTACAACGTGGATGTCATTTGGTCTGTTGCCTCCAGCATCCCAGTGCTGTTGCCTGTGCACTCACTATAACCAGATTTGTCTGTATTCCCTCTGCTAATATCAGAGGGTGCGGACTCTGCTTCCTCTTCAGGGCCAGCCTCTTCCTCTGGAAGGCAGCCCCTTCCCCGCCTCCTTTGGGACCCATTCCATCCTTTCCTCCTCCCTCTTGTACTCGCAGCCTTTTTCTCCTACTGATTCTTTCAGCTTACCTGAGTGGACTTCCGTCAGCACTTACCCCTTCCAGCAACTGTCACGCTCCTCCTTCTGTTCCTCGGGCTCTGTTGTCTCTGCCTGCACCATTTCCCTGAAGCCGCGCTCAATCAGGGTGGCCAGGAACTGCTTAAGTGTTACATCCAGAGGTCTGCTTTTCATTTCGTGTCTTTATTCATCTCATTGGATCTCATGGTACTTGTCCCTCTGCCTTTCTCCCTTGGGCTTACTCAACAGATCTCTTTCCTCTGCTCGTCCTAATCCTCTCATTCTATCTGCGTTCCTTCCGTGATGTCACCCACTGATGTAATTTTTGCCATGTTCTGTGTAAGGAACACTTAAATATTTTGCTCGGGTTTCTTCCCCAGGCTTGATCCCCAGGGATACATGGTACCCCTACCTGAATCTTCTACAGCTGTTTCTCAAGCTCTACACTAGACCCCCATCTTCCTCGTTCAACTTGTTCGTTCTCCTGTATTCTTGGCCTCACTTGTCACTCACAAGTCCACCCAGGACTCCTGTCCACCCACGTGTAGTCATTTTCCAGGTTGCTTTGTGTCTGGATGCTTCCCAAGCACTAATTCTTCTCTCCGTTCCCCTTTCCTACCTACTTCCACAGTCCTGATTCACACCTTTCCTCTCCTACCTAACAACCAAACTGGCCTCGTTGGTCTCCCTGCCTCTTCTCTGCCCCCCTTGAATCCACCCAGACAGCAACGCGTGTGTCTAAAACACAGATCTCACCCAGCAGTGGCTGTCTGTAAGCAGGTGACAGTTGGAGATCTTGGATGTGTGTATAAGGTTATGATCTGGCCCCAGGCTGCTTTCTCGGCCTCACCCCACAGCACTGAATTACACCATGCTGTTTCTTACCGCTGCCCTTCCCCTTGTCTGTGTCCCATTACCAGCTTGGCTAAGTTCTGCCCAGCCTGAGAACATGCCTGCATGCCTTGTTCTGGGAGGCCCTCCCTGGCCTCCCTGTTTCTGGGCTTGGTGCCCCTGCTTGGCATGAATGTCAGTCACTGTCCCCGTCTCACTGCCCTACGAGGCCCGCTGTGTGTGGCTCCAGTCCCCACTAGACTGTATTCGCCTTAAAGACAGAGACAGCGTCTTATTTATCTTTGTAGCTCCAGTGTCTAGCATATGGCTTAGCATGTAGTAGGTGTTCAACATACGGTTTTTAAATGAAAAGTCAGTAATGATAGTAAATCAGCACAATGCTTACAAAAATGGGCAGAAGTCATCTGTGCACAGTAGTCACCCTTGGGCGGCATGAAGGGGGCGATGATGTTCTGGGTTTGCTGTGCGGCGTTCGGGCTGGGAAATTCACTGTGCTGGCCACCTGTGGTATGTGTTCTCTCCTGTATTTATGTTACACGTCGAAAGCTTTCCTCAGAAATCAGTTTGACGTCTTATCTGCCCAATACAGGAAATTTCTTTTTTTTTTCTTTTGAGCTTTAAGAGTTTTTACAGGATATTAGTTCAGATGTGACAGCGAAGAACCAAACTACAGCTGTTCCTTTCCGTGAGGGAAGAGGGGATGACAGAGCATGAGCGACATGTGCGTGGGATGCCTGGCCTGCCAAAGGGGGCCCCTGAGGTCAGCCCTGACGGGTGGACGTGCAGTGACCTGCGCGTCTGTCACACTCACCCCAGGGGCCACGTGCTAATCCTCAGTGAGCGCTGGGCCTGCCTGCAGTAACGGGGGGGACTTTGGCTTGGATGTGACCATGAATAATTCATAAATGGAGTTATCGGGAAATTTGTGGTCATCATTAGCATTTTAATGAAAAAAAAATGCAGTCATTATTCTCAATCTCTGTTTTGTTTCTGCTTTTGTCCCTCCCCCCACCGCAGCCAACCCTCTCAGCCTTTCCCGAGTACTTGGAAACGGCCGAGGCCCCTGCCGATCGATGTGCTGACTGGTCGCTATGGGCAGACGGTCCGCGGAGGCTCACTGTCGCCCAGGCAGCTCCTGTACGTATGGGACCGGTCTCTTCTCTCTCTGTTTTCCTTTAATTTTTCATTATAGCATATGGCAGGGTGTGAGCTGGTGAAGGTTTATAACATTTAACTTGACAGTGTTTAGAAATGCATGATAGTGAATCGCTCTCGGGTAAGTTTTTAATATTGAATGATGAGAAATATTATCTAAATTAGGATTTTAATAATCCTGCGGCCCTCTAAGACCAGGAGTGCATATCAGCAATCTTCCATTCCATGCATCCCGTCATAGAGAGGTTTTTGGGGGTTTTTTAGCTGTCCTTTTTTTTGGTCACATATTTAACATTTGCACCAATATAAATGCCATACATTAAAAACATCTCCCCGTGATCGTTGTAGTTCTTTTGAAATAAAAAAAAATTGTGGGCCCAGAAGAGAGGTCCTTTGGGTATGTCATTGTTGAGTACGTGTTAGGGAGAGAGTCCACAATTCTTATTTCTTAACGTTCCCCAAAGGGGGAAACCCCTGATTCCCTCGGTGTGGGCCTTTGGCATCTCAGCACCACGTTCCCCCAGCCACCGTCTTCGGGGCAGGGGGTGGGGGGGGGCTGCAGTCACAGCCCTTTTCTGTTTGGCACGCCCCCGTGTCACTTAGGAGGAGAATGATTGCTGACCGTCTAGTTAATGATCTTTCTTATTTCTGGAAAGGAGAGTTTGTCTCAAATGTATTTTCTTGTTCCCTTTAGTCTTTCAGCCTTGGGCCAGCAGCTGTTACAGATACTTATTTTTGTTGCTTCCCTCTGAATTTCTGGAATTCTGGCTTCAAATCAGGGGTGTGTTTGGGGTAATTTCCCAGAGTGCCTTTGCTCCCACATCCTGTCCATCATGATGCTTGTTCATATGCACCTGTAAGTCCCCCTCCCTTGTGCAGTTCAGTTTTTTCTTCGTAGGAGAGTTCGAACCACCCTCACGACCGTACCCAGACAACCGCTTGCTTCTAACATCCCCCCAACAGCCAGATCGTTGGGAGCAGCAGGGGGAGGGAGAGCCCACGACAGTGCGTGGGTTTAGACCAGCCACCAGGGCTAGAGCCGCAGGGGTGGGACAGACAGCCTTCGCACACAGACCTCACCATCCTCCGAGGGCATCGCTGTGTTACTCTGAAGTTAGCAGTTTTCACAGAGAGCATCATCAGAAGTTGTTGACACTTTATACTGCAGACCAGGGGCCGGCAAACTGTGACCCAGAGCCAGCCCAGGCCTGTCTTTGTAGGAGCTCACGGTGGCTTCTATAGTTTTAAGTGGTTGCATTTAAAATGGTTATATAGATACCTACATACCCTCTATTTTGCCTCTTGCCCCTTATGAGCCTAATATATCTTCTATGGCCTGGCCTGTTAAGAAAAAGTTTGCCTATCCCTGCTGTAGAAGAGAGTTGGAAGCCACGTTCTATGATCGAACCCTGTGAAAGTATCATTTAACCTACCACAATGCCTATTTCATATGATCTGACCTAATACATATTGAGGAAATTCTTCTTTCGCATGGCTGAAATTCTAAAGTCGGGGCTCTTGGCGCACACGAAGTGCATTTACCTGGGGAATCACAGGTGTGGACGTGCTTGTTTTTCACCGTCTGGGTGAGCGAGTCACTGCGCCTCTCCTGCTCACAGCTCTTCCGTGGGCTCGCAGCCGAGGAGGCTCCTGCTGTCCCGTAGTGGAAAGGAAGCTCTTCTTTTCCACTTGACTGATATTTTTCACCCAGAGTTTTCCAGAGAAAACTATCTTTGTATCTTCCCCCTCCTGGGTGCAGGGACATGCTGGCTGTCCTCGGAGACCCCTGCTGAGCCTGGCACCTGTGTGTCTTTCTGGTGGGAAGGTGGGTGAGTGGCTGCCTTAGCCATAGGCCACAGGCCCCGCAGTGTGTCTGCGTGATGCGTTGCTTGGAATGTCCTTCCCCGCCCCTGGAATGTGGTTCTCCCCCATGTGCGCCTTCCGTCTCCGTTTCCATATCATCGATCCCTTAGTCCAGTGCGTAACAGCCTTCACTGATGTTATGCGGTTTGTTTTCCACTCTCCCCTCTCCTTCTCCGGATTATTAAATAAATCTGCTTGTTGAAACCTCTGGCTGACCTTCTATAGTGGCCACTCTTCCTGGTAGGAAACACGAACTCAGCTGCTCTGTGTCCCGTCACCTAAGACGAGAAATCTAAGTTGACTCGGGGCCTCTGGGCCAGACCAGGGTCTGAACAGGGCCACATTGTTCCCAGGGAAGGAAAACTGTTTCAGGGCAGAAACTCTCTGCAGTTTATAATTTTGTTATTAAGCGTGGTCGGAAGCATCAGCCAGGAGTGGGTAGGACATACTGCTGTGCTCTGAGCTGTTCTTGAGGCTCACGTGGCAACTTGGAGTTTAGACTTTCTTTCCTTCTGTTTCGGGATCACTGCTGTGCCTTTTGAGGCTGTCCTGTCTAGGGAGCAGGACGCTGTCCTTCGGCGAGTGTGGAGTGGCACCCACTGAGCACCAAAATAAGCAGCAAGAGCTAGAGCTGACCTCTCCTGACTTTTCGACATCTATTTGTGCTTATGTTAAGACGAGTTAAATTACCCTGGGGACTGTTCATCAGGTTGCACCCTTGGTGACTCTCCCTCGCACCCATCCGCTCCTTTGCGTGACTGTAGCTGCCGCTCTGACCCGGCCCTCAGGAGCTGGACCGTTGCAACAGTCTCCAGGCTTCTGGCCTGAAGTCTCCCTCCTTCAAATTAGATCCATTCATACAAGCCGAGTTAGTCTCACTGCTGATACTAGCTCCGATCGTGCCGCTTCCCTGCCAGGGAATTTGAGTGCATCCCCACTAGTCCAGAAGGTCGCCCTGACATTTTAGTCCTCTGCATTTTCTTTCACTACTCTTTGAATACCCATTACTCATGATTAAGAATTGTTACTGTTACTGGTAGCAGCATTACTCCTCAGTAGATCTCTTAGGACAGCCTAAGTGGGTGCTCCTGCCAATGCACACCCTTTGATTCGGGTCAGTGTGCCATCGCTCACGCGTGCCCTCTCTGGAACGTGGATCCGTCCGTAGACAACCTGCTAAAACCCCACTCTGGCTTCAGGGTGCAGCAGAGGTGCCCTGTTTCCTAGGAAGCCTCACTGGTTTCCCCTGTCTGGCAGCACATGCTTCTGTAGCTCTTAACCTGACGCTTGTAGCCCACGTTACTCTTTGTGTGTGCTGTGTCTGAACCCTGACACTAAGCGTGTTCATCTCCCTTCTCTCCTCTGTGTGTGAGGGCAGTGCTTTGTCTGTGGTCAGTGCTCACATATGCGTGGAATCCCCTTGGGCTCGGGGGTGGCTCTGGATCGTCGCTCTCCTCAGGAAGCCGCTGCAGAGCATTTCCCAGAGCTCTGGGCAGAGCCTGGCAGAGCCCAGGCCAAGCGGGCCTGTGTTCTCAGGGCTCCCGGGGGGGCCCCCTCTGCCTTTCCTCCCCTCTCACTCTGCCAGCGGGTGTTTCCGGTCTTTCTGCACTTGAGAAATTGCCCTTTGAAAAGCCGAAACAGTAACAGGCACGTACGATTATTTCTTTTGGCCTTTCCTCCTTGACTTCCCCACACTCACTGATGAAAGGCATTGTTTTCTTTGTGGTTCTACTTCCTGCCACACATTGTGTCCTGATTTTACCAGAAGGTTTCACTGCAGACTGGATTAACTTGGAAAGGTTCATTTTGTTATGCCCATTTCACAGATGAGAAAACCGAGGCTTGAAACAACAAAGCAGGCTGTCAGAGCAGAGCTGCAGTGTGAGCCCAGGTGTACCTGCTTCCATGTTTGGGTTCCTTTTTCCTGCCGGGCTTTGTCCTCACCTGCTGACCACTCAGATGATCCCTTATGTTGGTGCTGTCTACTGACCTGTTCCTACGACCACAGCTCGTAGTAGTGTGGGTCTTCAAGGCCTGAAAGATTCCGCAGCAAAGGAAGCTGACCTCTCTCTTGTCTCCTCTTTTACCCATTATTTAAACCTGGTAACCACAGGTAACATGAAGGCCATAGAAGAGCACTTCCTATAGAAAAGTAGTAATTAGTACAGAAGCAGTAACATCATGCGAACAATACATGTTTAATCTAGAGGATTTTAAAAAAGAAAAAAGTTCTCAGTGCTACACACCAAGAGATAACTGCTTTGAACATTTTGTTGAATACTTTTCTATACTTCAAGTATTCTCTCTCCATATCCTTATTTCTACTTACGTCTGCAAATGGGACCGTGTGATCCGTTGTGTTTAGGGAACCACGGGTCATCGATAGCTCTGTAGACCGGTATGCCTACTTTCACGGCAGCTCCCCAGTAGCCGCAGCCCGCGGTGTTCAGAGAAGGACCGTGAGGCCAGGGGAATGCAGGAAGGCTGACTCACCGCGGTGCAAGGAGGAACTTCTGTGGTGGTTAAAAATGCCGGTCAGGACCCACGAGGTGGATTTTCACCCTCCGTTATAGGCCTCGGTTCCCAGTGTGAAGCGCCCTGGCCCAGAGGTCCTGCGGCGCCGGTGCCGGAGGGGCACCTGGGCCGAAGCGGGGTTTGCAGGGCGTGTGCGCTGGGAGTTCAGAACTTCGCCGGGGCGTGAGGAAATACTTGGAATTTGAGTTAAAACCAGGAGCCCCAGAGCAGCGCTCAAGATCACTACCAGCCAGTGGGTCTCGCCGCCCAGAGCAGCCAGGATATGACTTGGTATCCCGAGAGAGGGGCTTCCTGCTCTGGTCTCAACTGGTTTTCCCGGTGTGGGCGGGGGTCCTGTAGGGTTGTCCCGATGCCGGGATCGCAGCGAAGACCGCCGGGGAGGCTCCCAGTTTTAGTAACAAAGTTCTGTGAATGAAGAGAGGTTATGGGAGTTGGGAAAGGTTAAAGGCCACAAGGTTTTTAAAACTGATTAGATTTTTATTCTGCCCAAAGGAAAACACAGAAAGAACAAAGATTCATTCATTTAAAAAAAATGTGTAAATACCAAAACCTCAAGAAAAAAAGGATCTTTAGCATTTTTCCTG